TTCCAAAGGCAACACTGCACTAAAAGCTGGGCTGACTCACTTCCACGGTGGGTGGCTGTTTCCAATTTTCTCACCAACTCCTGCCACCCCACCACCTTGAGAGAGGAGAGAAACAACTCTGTCCAGAAAACAAACTAGACATGAAAAAGAAAAAAGAGGGGACGCATTTTTCCAAGCTGCTCAGGAGAGGAGGCAGAGGGACAAACCCGGAGCAAGCCTCGCTTCCCCCACGGCTTTTGTGGCTCTGAAATAGTTATCGCTGTTTTCCTTCCTCTCTTTCTCTTTTGGAGAGTGTGGGAGCGCCACTAGAGCGCTGCAGAGAAACCACGGGGCTCATAACAACAGGAGGAAGCCGGTAACTTGAGAAACTCAGCCGGGCAGGGGAAAAGAAAGAGAGGAGAGAGGGAGAAAGGGGGAAAGGTGAAGTGGACAGAGAGTCCTTCAACAAGTGTGACACTTCCTTACATGTTTCTACATCCTGGAAACAGAGACACAGCAGAGCCAGCAGGAGCAGAAACATGACAAAAGCCACATTAGCAAATAACCTGATGGTTTGCAGACATTGTTTCCCACACACACACACACACACATGCTCATCCATCTGCAGCCTGAACACGACCACTCAGTCATCACTCATCAGTCAGAGCCAAGTCTTACCAGTCTGCGATGTAAACATCCAGCGAGAGGGGAGTTCTCTCAGAGTCCTGTCTGTTGTGTTCACGTACAGTTCAGTCCAGCGAGAGTCCGAGAGCGAAGACTGTGACTACACACAAACACACACTCACACAGTATCAGTTCCTTCTGTCCAACTGTCCCACTGAGAAAGTTGAGGGGCCGCAACAAAAGGCAACACAGGGAGGGAGGGAGGGAGGGAGAAGGAGAGAGCGAGCTAGGGAATGAGTGGGAGAGGGAGAGAGTGATTAACCCTCCTGAGCTGACTGGTGGACTCCCTCCTTCTCACACACGCATGTGCACACATTCACACACACACAATCACACACACACAGAGTTGGTTTGCCGTATCACTGACTTCTAGTGTTTTCTCTCAAGTGCCAAGAGGAGGAAGGGCGAACAGGGAGCATGTGTGTGTGTGTGTGTGTGTGTGTGTGTGTGTGTTTGCTCTAAGGTAGGAGGGTCCGGCTGGCTGGAGTCCAGCAGCAGTCAGCCTGGTAGAGAAAGACAATGGCAGGAAACACTATATCAGTTGGAGCAAAATACCAGCACAGAATAATTAACAGACAGCAGCATGAAAAACACTCAGGACACACTAAAACAATCATCGTGGGAGCAAAACAAAAAAAGTTATAAAAAGTTTATAGGATATTTGACCCCCCCCCCCCCCCCCCCCCCCCCCACACACACACACACACACAAAATAGCTATGAACAGAAAGATGAAGGAAAGGTTTTTGCAGTTACACGCAGATGCCATTTTCACTCAGTGAAAACAAAAAGTAATTAAAAACTCACCGTTTAGATATTTAAATGTTTTCAATGACAAACTCAAACATTTTCAACACTTTTATTAAGTAATTTATAAAGTAATGCCTGCAGAAGACTTAGAGGAAAGGAACGTTTATTTTGGGAGTGTACTGTTTGTTTGTTTTTTAAATACAGCAGGTTCACTGGTAACAGGTGAGTGGAGCAAACCTGGGTCTAACCTGAACAACTGCCAGGGAATCTGCCCTGCAGCATTTTCTATCTGGCACAAGGCAGTGCAAATATAAGAGGTTTAATAAGAGGTTTAATCATCCACAGCAGGTTTTAGTTTTAAATCCAAAAATTGGGTGGAAACCACTGCTGAATGTGCATGACTTCACTGCATTAGAAACTGCTGTGAGAATGTGGTGAACGCTGTGACACTGGCTCAGTCCTCGAGCAATCTTTTTAATTATTGTTATTTATTATTATCAAACTAACACAGTGAACATGTCATGAAGAGAGGAGTCACATGACAGCAGCCACAGCCTGTCCAGGAGCTCCAGTCTTTTTTACTATAAGAATAGGCAACAATACCGTTTAGGGATTTTACAAATCTCAGCTCCTAATAAAATGTCTTAGTTATTTCTATTTAGCAGGTGTATAACTGTATGTTTCACAAGTATGTAGAAATTAGAATTAAACAGTAACTCAGTATTGTCGTTTGTTTTCATAGTGCGTCATTAATATGGCTTGGTGTTTAACAGAACGACAACATTGAGTTGTCTTATACTTCTCAACAGTATTTTAGGTTTTAGTGTTTAATATTGAAAATAACCTTTTAGTTGTGGCCAATCACAAGTGACTGAGGACACACATTCTCATTACAATCAGTCAGCCATGACTCCCACATGAATCTCACCACCACCTACACACACACACACACACACACACACGCACGCACGCACTCACAGATATATACATGCACACATTCCCCTGGCTGTAATCATATCTGGTGATAAGAGCAGCTTCCCTCTGTGGTTGCTGGTTCTCTGGGCTTCAGCCACGGTGACTTACAATGGCCCTGTATTTGGAGCCTACTCTGATTACACACACAAGGAGCTGCATTACATCCCACTAATTTAATTTCCTGCCCTCCAGGTCAACTAGGGTGTTTGTGTGTGTGTCCGTGTGTGTGGGAGAGAGAGGGAGAGAGAGAATGAATGAATGAGTAGAAACAGTTAGAAACAGTAAAAAGAAGAACAAGCTGCTTTAACAGAAAAGTAGCCATAATAATGCGTGGGGGTGGACGGAGATGACGATCAATACTGGGGTCCTTCACTTCCTTATTTTAACCACTTACAGACCAAACTCACTCACTGTTTTATACTGAGAACTTAAATGGCATGGAGCTATCCTGTCAGTTGGTAGTACAATGTTTTTTTGTTTTGTTTTTGTTTTTTTTCTATTGCAGTATTGTCTAAAGCAATGGTTCTTATTCTGTACCACCTGAGAAAACACTAAGCTCTCTGAGTACCACCATGATGACCAACATTAGAATATAGCAGCAGAGGCCTTCCCTGTTAGCTTCCACCACAGGAGAGATGTTTAGAAAGAGGTTTATGTTTAAATGTTGTATTAATTCTGCATGGTATGTTTCAGATTTATTCAATTGAAAATGTAAATGTAAAAATATGAATTTCCCCATGTAGAGAGAGCGCCCGCGTACCACTGGTGGTACACGTACCACAGTTTGAAACCACTGGTTTAAAGTATTAATATGAATGAAGTAAAGTTGATATATGATCTGTTCATCCACTAACCTGTCGATGTGTCCATGAGTAAGGATCAAAACATCGAACAGGCTTCCACCACCTACTAGTACCTACTGACCTTATCTGACCATCCATCCATCTGACATGTTAATATTATGACTTAGTTCATGTCCTGCTGGTTCACTGTATGTCCCATATGTCTTTTTCTGAGAGGAGGTTGAGATAGAGACAGTGGAGCAGAGACACGAGAAGGAAACGTCCAGTTATTCATTAATCTAAATAGTATGAGGTCGTCACAGTATCTTTGAGTTTTTTTTTGTCTTCATTTTTGATTTCAACAGCTGCAAAGCTTTTGCTTGAATAAGGCTTCACTTGGGTTCAGTCTTATTACTGCGGACATGCCAAATATTACAATTTGTACAGAGGAAGAGAGAAGATCCCAGAGCATCACTGGACACCCTCCAACAGCAGCCCCGGCCTATAGAAACATATGGTCCTGACATTACTGAGTTTGGCCTCCACTATATGATTCATCAAAGAGAAAATGCCAAAAGCCTCGTCCAGGTTTAAGCTTCTTTTTTTTTTCAGAAACTCTTTTTCCATCCTACTCACTGAAATCATCTTCACCTGCCAATAGTTATTAGAGGAAATCTGGCAGTTTTCAGCACTGAGCTGTTGTTCAAGGTCTTTGGGAACTGTCAGTGGGGGGAAATCAGGAGATTGAGTCCAATTTAATCTAGCAAAGCCAGAGTGGTCTCACTCATCCTGATGTCTGTGAATGTGGCCGGGCCGACTGCCAGAACACGCTGTTTGTTATTTATCTTCACAAAACGCCACAACAAACGCCATGCAACATGAATTGTTCCTCACAAAACAACATTTTGGATGATTAGGTCAGTAAATCTGAAATAACTAAATTAAACTTTGCACTTTGGGACCTTGTACAGCTCTGGTTTAGATTTCAATAATAACTGTGAACCACATTCTGCTCCACGTTGGCTCAGTATGATTTCGATATAGTTGACTAGAATTCTCTTATTTTCATTCCAGGTTATAGGGTCTTGGTGGTATTATTACATGTTTAATGTAAAAACTGTAAAAAGAGAGTAACTCAACTTGACTTTAAAATGCCTTCTGCAGCTACCACAGGTGTTTGTCGTTACTCTGGAAGCTGGTGAACTTTTTTCCTCCATAACCACAAGAGCTGAACTACACTCCTTAAACCACAGCTATCACAATGGACGAAAATAAACACCTGATAGCCTCTATACACCGTGGGATTTTAGCAATGGCTCCATGACACACTGTGAGACGTGGATCTAAAAAAACTGCTGGTTCTGACGTACGTTAATCTGCGACATTATCAGCGTACGTCCTCCTTCTGCATCACCACAGTTGTGGTGATGATGAAGTGTGAAAGACCACTGTTCTAGAGCCGTGCCCAAAGATGTCTCCATGCTTCTCCTGCGATGGTTGTCTTTCACCTCGGACGTTGCGCAGCCTCGCTGTTGCACAGCACGTGTAATAATATTTTGAGCACACAAGGCTAAAAAGTATGATAAACCAGGTCTCCAAACAATACCTGTGTTAATAGAGTCTACTGCAGCTGCTGAAGAATTAACATAAATGTCATTTTTTTAAATCTGTAAAATCACCAATGTTACAACTTCAAATTTTACTTGCTTGAGTTTGTTAAAACCTTAATCACATGGATCATCAAACGTAAATAAATACATTTTTCTGCTCTACGTCAACACTAACTGCAGATTTGTTTTGGGGGTCCAGACCGCCTCTCTGGGGGGTGGGAGTGGGGTGGGCTTATTCTACAGCTTTTGAAGAAAATTGATGTGTGATGAGTCAAAGCCATGAAACTGTGGGTGGAGGTCCAGAACACAGAGCTACATCAGTTTTAAATGAGTAGAGTCGGTTGTTTGTCCGAACACGTTGTGAAACAGTCGATTGCTCTTTGGCCTCTCGCTGGTTCCCTCCCAGGTTTCTTCAGCTGCGGTCATGGAGTTTAAATAGGATGCAGGCCTGCGTCTGGCAGGACGTATAAGGAGACGAAGCATTAATTTGTTATCCCACAGTAAGACACCTCATTCTAATTTGGATCCCAGCGATGGAATATTAATGTAAAAATCCCTGCTCGTCTCCTAACGGACGAGGTCAGTCCTCCAGACTATGATGGAGCCACTTGTTCGCTGCAGGTTGTTTATCAGATTCGTTCAACACATCTGACTCTCATTTTGGCCAAATAAAACAATGCTGCGCCTCGATGTCAAATGCATGGCAGACATATGGAGTGTGTGTGTGTCTGTGTGTTTGGGGGCGGTGCATGTGTGTGTGAATGAATGTGTGAGTGAATGTGTGTGTGTGTAATAAAAGGCAAAGAATGTGTTTGTCATTAAAATGACTAAATACAAGGGCGGGGTCCCTGTAAATCTACGTCTCCATTCAGGACACACACAGCGAGAGAGAGAGAGAAAGAGAAAGAGAGAGAGAAAGAAAGAAAGAAAGAGAGAGAGAGAGCGCAGCACATACCTTACTCTGTCACTGTCTCTGACCTAACTTCTCAGACGCAGTCTCTCCTCCACACACATCTGGAAAGACGTCTCCGGCTGTGGGTGTGATTTTGCTTGTACACAATGATTAGTGAGTGAGTGCGCGCTGTTGTCCAGTGTGTTTCCACCTCCCCTCTTTTGTTTTGGTTACCAGCCTCGTCTGTTAAACCTCAGTGATCAGTCCTGCGGCCGGGGGAAGAAACACAAGAAGGAGGCCCTTAATTGTGAAGGCAAATGTGGTGAAAATAAGTAAAAGGTGTGGACGGGTCAGCAGTCAATCACCGGACCACACAGAGAGAGGAACAACAAGACCGGTCGGGGGTCCCCACCTACTCTATCTCTGGGCTACATGGTATAAAAATGTGGGGAGGAAAAGCCAAATTACTGAAAGGAAATGCATTCTGTCCAAGCCGGCAGGGATTTCTAACCTCCGGATCGTGGACCGGTACTGAGCCATAAGTCATTTGGTACCAGATCAGCAGGGCCAGTCCTCGGTACGAAAAAGTTTGGGGGTCACTTCAAGCTGGGATTTGAACTGATGACCTTTCTGCTGTGAGACGTGCCTATGCTGCTAAGTTAGGGGGCGACATAGAGACACTGATTTCATTAGTTCAAAACTCAGCTCTGGTAACTGGCAGCAGTTGTTCTCATGCTTTCATGAAATGGCCAGAAAAGTGTCACCAAACATTACATGAATAAGAAGGCAGTTATTTGTTATTGCCTGGTAACAACAGAGTTGTTGTTTTTTATCTCAGAGTTTGACGTTTTTATTTCGACGGCATCTCTTTCTCCCCCGTCTTGTTTCCAGCTGCAGCTATTTTCACTCAGAAGTGTTTGATCAAACAGCAGCAAACAGAAGGAGCAGGTGGTGGCCAACACAGAGATAAATAAGTGACTGCAACACTATTGTCATCCATACAAGCAGGTGAAAGATAGAAGCCGTGAGGATGCGATCTGTTTGGTTTCCTCCAGATTTCTTCTGAAGAAAAATGGCAGCAGGTGCTTCCTTGTTTGTCCCACGGACAAGAAAATAAGTGGAAATAATGCTGTGCTTCCATGTACACAGCCCGGATGTGTGGATGGAAGCAGAGCCTCGGAGGCTGGTTTGATAGTTAGGGTGTACGGAAACATGGATACACTGAAATATCACCATTTTTCCTTTCATACTGATGTTCTACACCACCATGTTGATTTTTTTATTAACAACTAACATACAAATATTCACGGCGTTTGTGTTGCTACTGTGAGTTGATTGTACAGGGACTGCATATATTAGAGTATTTGAGACTTTACTATAGTATCCCAGTATACCGTAACACTGATCCGCGTCGTAGCGTGAGATTCCTGCCAATACAAACTCCTAGTTGATGGAGTTGAAATACTGGATTTAGACCTTGTCAAGACTTGTAAAAGTTGAAAGTGAAAATGAACTACTCATCATTGTGACACAGCATACCACTGCACGCAACCAAATGTGACCTCTTCTTTATCCCCTCACCAAAGTGAACAGTGGGCAGCAGGGTGTTGGGACAGAGCTACGCTCAGAGAACCTCAGTGGTTAGTTGGCAGCTGGTGGACTCTAACCTGAAGCCTTCCGGACCCAAGTCAACTTCCTTAACCACTAAGCCACCACTGTTGTTAATATAATAGAACTCAGGTTTATTCTTTCAACCTCAGTTCCAGTACATTAGCTGTTGCTGCTGCTGTTGATGATGATGATGATGATAACGATGATGATGATGATAACGATGATGATGCACTGTTACTTAATGACAAAAACCTCCAATACGGTGAGGAAGGTGGTTATTTGGTTTGCACAGTGGCAAAGCACTCTGGGAAACTATGTTTGTTAGTGCGCGATTTGCAGCCATTAAGACAATAAGAAAAATTGTGGAAAGTACTGTAAAAAAAAATCAAATCCAACTGTGGCCACACTGTCATGAGGGTTTATATTTCCAAGAATAACAGAATTTAGAGTAACTAACGTTAGCAGCCAACAAAGCTAACATCACGTAACTTGCTCGATAGCTACAGTACATTACGCTGACCACAACAAAACCGTCTGAGGTCAGTTCAAAACAAACGGGTTCGCTAGTATTTCCAGATGTTAAAAACCATTTCTGACATGTTTCTGCTTTGTTTTAGTGCAAAATTAATGAGCGTTGATTTTGTTTCTTCCTTCCTAAAACACCGCATGATGAGGGTGGAATTCCATACTTTGGGGGATATTTCTAACCCTAACCCTTGGAACTCATTTTCAAGGGGTAAATGATTGTGGTTTTAAAAAAAAAAAAATTGGCCTTTCACACAGTTGGGAGGCATCTGCTTCTGTGCAACAACAAGGTAACAGACCAAAGTCCAGATACAGGTGGTAAAGGAGTACGAGAGCTGAAATTAGTTTTAAAAAAGATTTGATCCATGTTCCTGCTAAGACATGGAAGCATTAGCATCCTGGAACTTGGGCTTTAGACCAGAATTAGGGGATTAAAACAGTTTTCAAAAACCACCGCAATCAATCATGGCTCAGTTAAGTAAACTCATAAAGTCAATATTTTGTCAACACTATTGCTAAAATCAGTCAACGGAGTCCAACACATGGAGTAAATAAATGAACAAATACGTCTTCATTTGCAGGGAAAGTCGTAGCTGCTACAGTGGTCGGGGTTTGACAATAAAACGACTAAAATGGTTTGGGTTCAGTTAGGGGAATATTATAATGACAGCAATGTTGGGATGGAATGATGTAATGATGTGGTTAATGTCGGGGAAAAAAATATAAAAGTGGGGCTCATACGGAAGAAATGCCAAGGAGAAAGGAAATGAAAGGATTTGAAGGAGGAGGAGGAGCAGAAGGAGGAAGCAGAGAATAAGACGGGGTCCAGACTCCTGATCCTAGCAGCTGTTGTTTGTAGGTCAGCATTACATCAGAAGGTTTACGGTAAAGAAAGGAGAAAAAGAAGGTTGGGAATCACTTCTCATCTTGACCTACTTTGAGGGTTTTGGTATTAAGTGGAATCCAAAACCCAGTCAGGTTCCAGCACAGGTCCAGTCTCCTGGACGTGGAGTCTTCTCCTCATTTTTAGTCAAAGACCACAACACAAAAATCAACAAAAAAGTGTCTAATTATATCTTCCATCCTGAAGATCTCTGTAATCATTAGTCCAGAGCTGGACATTACGGTCCTCAGACTGAGCCACTCTTTCTGACTGTCATCACGTGTGTAACACAGACGTTTGGATCCCCGGTGTCAGCGTGAATCCCATTAATATCAGGCTTGATTTAATGTGTCAGCTGTTCCTTTGGACACAGTTCTGTTTTGGACTTTGTATTAAAAAAGAAGAAGAAGAAGAAGAAGAAGAAGAAGAACTCCTGTCAAACCCCAGAGGATGAAAATAGTTCTGCTGCACAAAATGAGTTTGTATGTTGCACAAGAATTTATACGTTGTAAAAAAATTTATAGCGTCCATATGTTGGTGGGTTAGAGACTACAGTGTGTGTTTCTGTAGAAATGGGCGTCCTACAGAGACAACACACAGGACGGAGACTGAGAAGAGCATAAATCACTCTGTGGTGATACTGGACGATGGTAACGACAGCAGTAAAATGATACTAAGGCAGGATTTGAACATGGACCGTGAAAAACATGGATGAAGGCCAGCAGATTCAGAAGTGAAGGTCTAGTTTAGTTTTGTTATTAACACATCCTACACTTTTCCTTTTGTTCATGCACTACTACAAATCAAATTACATTTCTCACATCATCTCTGCCACATTATCTCTAAAAGTTTGTTTTCACCCAGCATTCCATATCCAACCAACACTGAACTGGCCTGCGAGTCAAAGTCTGAACCTTATTTTGCCCAGCCTTGCTCTAGAGAGTAACACCTTCAGTTACCCTGGGAGCTTGAACCAGTGATGTCATTCCTGTAAGGCAACAGCACCGCCCGCACAGCCTTCTGTTTACAAAAGTTATTTCAATTATTTCCACACCAAAAACAACAGAAAAGACCCGTCCTTAAAGACCCACCCTCGTGTTTTACATTTTAAGCCAAGCTACAATCGTTCGGCGGTTGTGAAACAGCATGACGATATCAAAGTCTGTGTGAAACAAACAGACACGGGTCTCCAGCAACAGCGGCGTTGTTACAACTGCAGGGCCTGAGAAAAACAGTCATTAATCTGTGTGTTTAACAGCTTGTTGTTGCAGCCTGAGTCGCCTGTAAATAAACCCTGGTTTCATCTAAACATGGATGTGCTGCCAGTGAAGTACACAGGCAGAGTCCTGGCCGGCCAATAAAAGCGCTGTTATCAGCAGAGCAGGAAATTACTGAATGGACAATATCAAAACTAAACCGCTCTGGTTCTCCCTCTGGCTCTTGAACTCCAACTGTAGAGTACACAGTACACTGTACTGCAGTACAGCGTCTCGTTGACCGCGTGGTAGTTTATTTAAGTAGGTCAACGATGTCAGCAGTTTCAGGGAAGAACCTGAAGACTGACCTTAGCTCTGAACATGCTAAGGTTTGTGTTTCAACTGAAGCTCCGCTCACTTTCTGCTCACTTTCTTTTCAATTTGCAGAAAGTTGAATTCGTTTGCACTAGTATGTTGTTGATATAATATTTGTATAGAGATTTTTTTGCTCTATTTGCTTGAATTGACCAAGTCAACAAACAGTGCTGTATTTTTTAAATTCAGTTTTAGTTTAAAGTTTGTACCTGAATCCTCAAAATACAAGAATGCATTTGTATGTAATGTAATGTGAAAGGAGAAATCTGAGTTTTATTTTGGTATCTTTACTCCAGAGCAGGCTCAGGATTATAGGTAAACCAGGAAATGGAAAGATCGCGACAGTGTGAGTTCTTTACATCTGTTTTTTATCGTCTGGACAGTGACATCAGAACACACAGCGTGCAATCAGCGATTTCTCATCATTCCCCTTCATTTCCCATGCACTGAATCACGTCCAACTTCTAAAATTGCACATCTGTCAACAAACGTGGTGCATCCCAGATCAACATGTAATTTGTCCGTGCAAATTGGGGTCAAAACATATTCACTTACAGCCGCTCCAGAAACGAAGTGAAACCGCAGCCACCCTTCGCAGATTTACCGTCTGACTTATATTTAGCCAATGCGTGCGCTCGCTGCCAACTCTCCACTTGAAATTCACGACAAAGCCAGA